TATTTTTTTACTTTTTTTTTAGCCTTTTTATTTTTATTATAAAGTTTATTAGTACGCGTAGAGTTTATTGCAGACTTTCGCCGGCGCGTAAGGTTATAAATCACCTTGTAAGCTAGTAGATTTAACGTATTATAATACGTGTACTATTTTTTAAATTATATATTACTATTTAATTAGCTAGGTATAGCTACTAATTATACTACTAGTAGGTTCTGGTAATTAGCTAGCCTTTTTTTTATTTTTTTTATATTAATTTAATAAAGTTTATTAGTTTATATATCGCCGTAAATAATTATCTAGGACACTAATTTACCTCTTGTTATACTCTCTAGGACACTGTAGCGAAAATTTTAATATTACAGCGGCGCCATGCATGTTAGAGTTCTGAAGGTACAGGAGGCCTGGTACAATGAACTTTGGTACTAACACCATGTTGCATGGAAAGGTTAGGCCTCAATAAATCCCTCTTTTGTGCCTAGTACGGAGCTCTACGTACATTTATATACCCCTATTGACCCATAACTAAACAGAGTTCCTAGAAACGTGGTCTTCAAAAAGCGGCATGTGTTATGAACATGGATCGGTGATTCCAAAAAGACTCAATGACTCCAAACCTCCGGATAATGGATAATTACTATGTAGCCACCTTCCCCCACCCGACGAGTCTTTTGGTAGATGACTGCTTGAGATCAGCATCTTATTAGTTTCTCACAGGATTACACACGTCGCCCGTCAACCAAGGCAGAGTCCTGGAGCCGTCTTCTTTCTCCACACGTAACCGTCTCAAGGCTTGATGCGACCCTGGACGTCAATCTTACAGACCATTTTCGTATATTTCTACAGACCAACATCTTGTTGTTGGTTCATGGCAGTGAGATGCAAAAGTTCCACGCATCGCGTGTGAAACTCGCATATTGACCCGCATTTGACTCGATGGATAAGTGGCTGCAAGGTTAACCATAACACCGGAGTAACAAGCAGATGACAGGTGCCACAGCCTTGACTTGATGGAGTAGGGCTCAAAAGCAGACGCTTTTTGATAACTTTCTAGGACAAAGACTCAAGTGTTCAAGAGGGAAGAAGGTGAAAATCCCGCGTTGGACGTATCTGTCGCAGTGCATGCGTCTCGCCACCAGCTTACCAACAAGGCACCCATCCATCGTCTTGGCACATGTCTGTTGGCAAAGAGGGACTTGCAGCTAATAGCTCTCGTCCCTGAAACGTACCAAAAAACGTCGTGGGATGAATTAACTTTCTTCCTTAGGATATACCAGATGTATCCCGCATTCTGGGCTCCAAAATGTTCTACGTTATCGGTCCCTCTTTGCAGTCTCACACAAGTTACATCATTATACAGCAGCCACGAACCAAGATTAGAGACAGGCGAGACATATCATCAGAAGGAATGGACAATTTATTGATAAGTATCACGATATTACTTTTGTCATCTTGCGCGCATTTGTCCGACTCCGTGTGCAGTTCTTGGGTAGCTGTATCCCAAGCTAAACAACCATCTGCTACATGGCCAGACCTTTTCTTTGCATTTGCTATTCCGCATCCGTGTTCAATGCCACTCCAGCAATTGTATCACGACCCGGATCTAGAAAGATTTTGCCGCAGTGCTTGCTGTGCGCTTCACTGTACGACCGCGGCTCAACAGTCTTTCCGTTGAAGCGTGCCCGCTGCTCCTTTCTCCAGTAGAAGATGCAGTGAATAACATGCCAGTGGCCAGTCATGTGAAATCGCCTGTCTGTGTAATCTGCCATTTTTGCAATCTCCTCGATGCTAATCTCTTGGGTGTGATTGCCGTCAGCCCAGTACGTCCACTTTCCCCCGGGGCCTGGCCCGGAACGCTCAAACTCGGCCGTTAATTCGTCATCTCGGCAATGTTCGGGCAGCCAAGCAGCAGCCAGTGAGTCGTATTTGCATCCCAGCTGAACTGCCTCTGCTGTGGAATTGCCACAATCACAGGATGTAAATGCCGGTGCGGCCTGGTGGTGCTTGTCTATTGCAGCCCCATCAGTGTGGTTGCTCGACTTGGGTTGGACAAGACTGATAAAACCCAAAAGTGCGAATGAAATCAAAATCAAGTCTTTGGCGACAGAGAGCGATATTTTGAAACCTTTACGAGATGGCAGGTGCTGCTGCTTTGTATATTCCGCCGAAGAATCTGAAGAGTTGTCGCGATCTACTGTGAGAGACTGTTCTTCGGTGTCCGAATTGACGCTAACCGGTGTTATTAGTTTCTGTTGTCTTGGAATGGAGATGGATCAGTTTACTGGTTGTATTTGAAGCCCATTGTGAAATGCTCAGGGTCGGTCTGGTGATATGTGGGATGTTGACGGAAAGTTGCGGCTCACTTGCCTTGGCCTGAACGACGCGGCGAGGCCGGAGAAAAAATACTCACCCTGGGTCTTACATCACTGTCAGCGTCTGCTGATTGAATTATTTGCCCAATTACAAGACTGCTCGTGGTCATTTGACCCATTCCGGCGTACATGGCTCCAGTTACGTACATATGTACACCGGACCCTTTTCACACAGCCCTTGTTAGCAGAAGCCACCTAGGGTTGCAGGTATCGAGTTGTTCCATAGTGTCATTACAATGTTTATCCAAGTGAATGTTCGTCTTAAGTACTTCTTTTATTAAATGTTTTTGTCCAAAAAAGACGAAGGAATCGCAGAGCAAGAAACCATCCCATGTCGGGTATTGATAACTTTCATGCTTCCCAAAGTGCCAAATCCCTTAGAACTACTAGTCTCACTAATACGAAAGAGCGTGTATTGTCCAACTACGCCATTCTTAAGTGCAGTTGCATGAGTTTAGAATTCTAGAGGGGTCAAGAGACCTGCTGCCTTTGATTAACTGGCAAGTAGGGCTGATGATGCTGAATAAAACCACTCACGCCATGTTCAAGCGTGGAAGAAAACACTTTCGATATCCGAAATAGGCCATGACTCCTTTCTCAACAGTATACGGATCCCGTGACTCTCTGAGAAAATCGATGCAATGATTCATATGTTCCTCATCCAGGTGTACATCTAAAACTCCGAGATTTTGGTTGTGAGCATACCGCTTTGTCGCGTTGAGCAGATACCGGCAGTGCTCGTAGTGCTCCTCAAAACTGACAAACAGCTCTGGATATTCTAGAGTACCCTCGAGTAGTTTTTCTTGGGGAATGCGCTGGCGCTTTTCCTTGTCCACCCAAAAGTAGTAGTCGTGCTGATCGACAAAATAGTCATGCTTTTGCCCGTCAAAACAGGGAGCAGGCACCCATCCGTTGACGAAGAGATCGAACTTGCAGCCAGCTTGACGGGCTGCCTCTGGACCGCCAGTGGATTGGCAGGGGACATAAGGGCCTTTGGAATTGTCGTGACGCACCGGTAGACCTCCAAACTCTGCAGGTATATTTGCAGAGACTGTATCTTTTTGGAGCAATCCGGCTTCGCGGAAGTTGGCTTTTATGTTGAGGACCAATACGGTACCGAGAATAGCAGAGACGATGATGTGACTTGTGAGCCACGCGGCCATTATTAGCGTCGAGCTACACGCACGTTGATGATGCTTCTTGACTCCATCATTGAGCAGGAACGGCTCCTTTTCTGGTCCCGACCACTGACTGTCGTTGTCGTCTATGCTCTTTGAATCCATGGGCAATCGTTGGAATATTGCGAAATTTCTTGATCATACGAAACAAAGGACAGAGAAAAATATAGACGACGAAATTCTCGTTACAAAATGGAGGCGAGGAAGATGGTTTGCGAGCGCGACGTTTACACCCAGATGGGGGGTTGCGAGTGGATGGTAGAAATTCGCCTATTGTGAAATGATTAAATTCTGGCAATCAATTAGTCAACGATAACGATCCTGTGTGACAGAATCAGCGGCATCAGTATTTCAATTCGGCCTTGTGCGTTACCTCCGAGTAGTAATGCCCGGCCAACAGACCAATTCAAAAGGTATTCGACCGGTGGTTTTTTAATTTGTGTCGGTTGCTCTTATGGCTCAAGAAACCCTGATGCAGCCTTCGTTTATGCATGATGATTCCTACTGCACCTGGTGTTGCCCGAATCGATGCCCTGCATGAAAGTCTATGGAGAAATCATAATCGAGCCCTGAGAAAGAGGTTTTTATCCATGCAATAAGATGGATACTGAGTCTGATGTGGTCGGTGCCAACAATTCAAGGTGTTGGATGCCTATGCTCTGGGGCGTTTAAGTCGGCGAGATTCCCCTTGATCGCCGTTCACAGGCTTTGTCTTGGATACACGTGCGTTTCCGCTCCATTCAAAGGCAGATATAACTCGCCTCCCTTCCGTCTTTGGGGGAAAGGTTGCGCTGTCATAACTACAAGTTAAAGTTTGACAACTTTGCTCAAGTTTGTTCCATTGTGGAATATTCTACTCTTTTACCATGAAGTCTATTCTTTGCGTAGCTTTGGCCGTTCTGGCAGCAGCTACTCCTATTGTTGTCCGCAATGATGCTACCCGTAAGTTCCCTCTCGCCAAGTCCGGGACAATTGAATCAGGAGACATTCAAGATCACTTACAGTGTTACAGAAGTGGCCCGCAGCCCACAATTTCAGGTTTGTTTGAGCAGTCTACCTTGGTCTTTCTAGCAGCTAACTGTGTCTGCATAGCCATTCAAGGCCGACGAAAGCGCTTCTTACAAGCGTACCCCTCAGTTCCAGGTAGGTTTGGGTAGTCAATGGCGGCATTTCCAAGACGTCCACTGAATGTGTATAGCCTTTCAAGGCCGACGAAGACGCTCCCTACAAGCGTGATCCTCAATTCCAGGTGTGTTTGAGCATCCGGCCTACCAATGTTTAAACTCTCACACTAACTTGACCCCACACAGCCCTTCAAGGCCGACGAGGCGGGGATTGGCCAATACTAAAGAGTGACATTATCGTAAACGGCAATTGCTGGTGCCAAGGTAGTTCAGCCGCTGTCTTGAGGACAAAGTACAACGAGTCCCTGTGGTCAGTTTGGCAGAATTTTTCAGTCTAGCTAGTGCATTGCCGAGCTAGTGGCACTATGGCAGTGAGCACATGCAGCTCTCCTAGTGCGAATGGAAACGTTTGTCCCTAACATGACTGTTCTAATTAATAATATTGAATTGCCCCAGCTACATTGTAGTCAAATAGCCTCATATCAGGGAGAGAGTACTCTTAGAGGGCGCCAGACTACACACGGCACAGTTGTGTAAGACTGCTCAGGAAACCATGGTTCATACGCATTGCGAATGCAAGCATGTCGTTGAGTATTTGATGTGATAGGTCTGTCACTTTTAAGCTGATGCAGGCTGCTGCATCTCAAGTTATTTGCGGCGTTCCAGGATAAGTAGAGCGGGGTTAATCCTATTATGGCCTGGCGGCGCCGCTTCCGTCTGGTCCGTCCCGTGTGTGGAGCCGACTAGAATCCCACGTGTAGCCGAGTGGGGCCGATCCTGCCAAAGCGGGGGCATCAGAGCACGCTGGCAGTTTGATCCAAAACGAAGAGGCTGACTGCAGGCAGAGAAACCGGGAAGTGCGGTCAAAGTCCGTGGACAATGCTACGTCGGACTCGCCAGAAACAGCATTCTCCGAGATTATATGTGTTATATTCTCCTTTTGATCACCATTCAATATGATAATGACGCTGCCGCCCAAGCGATGGCAACCAAACCGGGACACTTGTTACAGCGAGTGACAAAGCTGTCGCCGGGAGGGGCACAGCGGAAGGCAAGATTGAAATCATGCTAGAGCGAAATAAGAGACTGTAGGGTAGCTTGCCTTTGCTCCAAACAGACTGCAGAGTCAAGTATACCAATACCAGCTTTTAACAGGTAGTAGTCTATTTTATTAGCTACCTAATTCACTCAGATGGCGATTTCCTGAGCAGTCGGCAGTCTATTTCTCCTGCGATTGTCAGGCATCCACCACCACCTCAGTCATCTCACTTCCTTCCCTCGCTAATGCCATATTCCTTCTATCATGCCGCGTTCAAGCCTGTCAGCAGAGAGCGACAACCAAAGCTTGCTTTCACAGAACAGCGTTGAATCCGGAATTGGGGAAAAGGCGCAGCAAGATGTGACCTACGGATACTGCTTGCGCAGGTTTACACCATCCCTTGATACAAAACAACTAGTTGTCGTAGCCATCGCAACCATCATCGCCGCCTTGGCTCTGGCAACACTTGCTCTGGAAGCTCTCGCTCTGCGATTGGGGCCTTCATCTGACGGCGGCTCCATTAACCGCTGCGGATCAAACACGGAAGAAGCTCTAGCTCTGGGCTGCAAGTTTGACGCCATCAACTACTCATGGCAGCCGCCCGAGTGCTTCCATGAAAAGGTCTACAAGCGTTATTGGGACTTGACACGCGCGCAGGGAGCGCTCAAGTGGTACGCCGACTCGAACTTCACAAAGGAGCTGCCGCAAGACATTGAGCTCCTCATGCATACGCCACATGTGTGGTCGGAACATCGGCTTCATGTCGTGCATTGCCTGTACGACTGGGAGCTGATGCATTACGCACTGTCAATGAACAAGCCAGTGCCAGAGTTCATCTCGCGCCTCAACCATACCGTGCATTGTGCGGATACAGCCCTGGACCAACATTACAGAATCAAGGATACAGTTATCAAGGCTTCACATAATAGATGCGTCATGTTGGCACAGGTGAAAGTTGATTAGATGTTTTGGAATCGATCGATATGGCCAAGCCAGGACGAGAATAGAAACGACGGGGGATGTTGAGGTTCTAATGGAAAACGGGCGATCAGGACTCTCAAGATGGGTTGTTTTATTAATATTCTTGAAGAATGTAACAAGATATACTCTATACATCAGCCGCTTACCTATCCAAGTAGCACCAAATTGGATATGTTGCCTGCCATGGATGGGTCCAACGTAGTCATGAGCCAGACGGGCTATTGGACCATGGTATAAAATGCCACCCTAAAGGCCATCTTGCCAAATGCTTTGTCTCTTTACCTTTTCCCCAGTCAAATCTATAGCATCATGACCTCTTCTAATGCGGTCAGTCAAGAGCAGGAACCTCTTTTGGCCCGGGGAGACATAGTCCGGGATGGCACAGGCACGGTACAATCGCAGGCCCCGTCGCACCACGTCCCTGTTCTTGTGTTTGGGTACATTTCCATGTTCTTCTTGACGCTGTATCCTAGTATTTTCCACACGGCCCTGACTCAGACCATGGAGGGAAATATCTGCCAGATCCTCCACCCTAACGTCACGAACCCAGTCGCGGACCTGCGCTGCAAGGACGCAGAGGTGCAGGCCGAGCTGTCGCTGGTGTTGGGTTTGGAGAGCACCTTTGGTCTGCTGCCGACACTACTGTTCAGTATTCCCTACGGAATGGCTGCTGACGTCTATGGCCGCAAGCCCATTGTCATCCTATCGGCAATTGGAGGTACCCTGTATAATCTGACCGCAATGATCGTCTGTATGTCTTCTCCTTGGCCCTCATAAACCGACACCAGAATTAAACGCCCCTGAAGGCCGCTTTCCTAATATATTTCCGTCACGGCTTCTTTGGGCCGTGCCTCTCACGTCAGTTGTTGGCGGTGGCTCGGCCATTGCCTTGACAATCCTGTATGCCATGGCGAATGATGTCGTGTCCAAATCACAGAGGTGCGTATAAGTTCCACCCCATGCCCTTGATTCCTTACAATTCGCACCGGTCCAACGCTCACGCCATAATTTACTGATAGATCCATGACGTTTTTGCTTTTAACAACCTCGCGCCTCGTCGCTGTCCTCGTTAGTGGACCAATCACCTACGCCACTCTCTCTCGGGGGCAATGGCTCACGTTTGTTGTATCGCTGCTTGTCCAGTTCCTTGGGCTCTTGACGTCGCTTCTACTACCTGAGACGCTAACGCTGTGCAACGATGAAGCGATTAGCCGCCAAAAGACGGCCAGGTCATTTGTATCCGTGATTCGCACAAGAACCAAATCTTTGGTGACGGAAGCTCTACCGCCATTAAAGGGCGTGATATGGGGCAATAGAAAACTGTGTCTGCTTTTCTCGAGCATGTTTTTTGCGCACACAAGCAAAACGATGGCTGCGTCAATGTACGCGCAGTATGCTACGAAGCGTTACGGTATATCCTGGGGAGAGGTACGTCTGCAGAAATACTCAAAGCCTCTCACAGCAGCATTGGACTGAGGCGAAATACAGGCCGACCTGATCATTTCTCTTCGGAGCTTCGTAATGCTGGGTTTATTTCTATGTATTCTTCCGCTCACAAACTACCTTGTCCTCAGAGCTGGAATAATGCCAATTCGACAAGACTCGTGGACGGCACGAATAGGCATCACGCTCATCATAGTCTCTTCCTGGATTACTGGCTCGGCAGAGACGCTGCCCGTGTTTATTGTGGCCATTGTACTTTCTGCCTTTAGCCTTTGTTTGGAGCCGGCAATGCGCAGTCTCATTGTTTATTCGGCCAGAAATGCAGGCACCGGCATGGTTTTCTCCGTCATGGAGCTGCTTCAAGCCCTGGGTTTCATAGCCTCTGGTCCTATTGTTGCCTCGAGCTTCCGGCTAGGCCTGCATTGGGGCGGGCAGTGGCTAGGGCTACCCTTGTTGATGGCATCTTGCATGGCGATGCCTGGCGCTGTGATTATATGTGCTCTGAGAATTGAAGAGACTGAAGACGAGGAGGAGGAAGTAGCTTAGCACCGAGGAGTAGAGTAATGGCCACCTTCTTGTTGTCACACGGTTACACAAGGGCTACAGTCACGAGACCTAGATTAAAGTCCCTCACCGACTTCTTGTATTTAAAGACCCAGTGCCCCTTTGGTCAATAAGGCCTTGAGGAAAACCGAGGTCCTTTGATACCAAAGACTGTTATTAGATGAATTGAGTCATTGCTCCAAGCTTAAGCCCTTGTCACAGTTGTTGCTTTACAACTAGCAAAGGGATCAACATCCGATGCACATGCCGTGCCCCGTCTTCTTGTTGCGCCCATTTATGCAAAAGGTCCAATCAAGACAAGGAGTCGGGTTACCAACTTTGCTTGGAAGGCGGCGCGGCAAGGTATATACATGCATGTATGTATGCGTGGGACACCCAATTTTCAAGCCGACCGGACACGTTACATTCATGGCTCTTCAAGGTCAACTGGTGGACATGGATGCAGCTCCTGGCGCTGTGCCCCCTACACGGTCCATATTCATCAAGATTGAAATGCCAAGATTTGGTCAATGCATGTGGAGGAAAACGAATCAAGAGCGGTGAAGACGGCGGGGAGGCAAAACGGGGCACATTGCAGCTTCATCCAAGCGATTCAATGTTGCGTTTAAATCCAGCTCCTATTCCCCAGTTGTTCAATACATACAACCAGTGCATTCGGCGAGAGCCTCGTGACGACGCATCTTCAACGCCAGACACTTATCCCGTCTTCTCCATCATGGGCAGTAGCCAACAAATGTACGCACGCCATCCCCTTACGCAAGCATGCGCTGACATGACAAAAAGTGAGGTCGATGTCCTGATCATCGGTGCTGGCCCAACTGGCCTGGGTGCTGCCAAGCGCCTTCAGCAATTGGTATGCTCCAAAATCATCATGACGACCCCATTCGTGGTCACTAACAGCTTGTGACGGAAGAACAGCGCGTCGTGGCTCATTGTTGACTCGAATACGACGCCTGGTGGTCTCGCATCGACAGATGTCACTCCAGAGGGTTTTGTGAGTTCCTCGGCTTCTCTCTGCTCGTGCTTCTTTTTTGACATGGATCAAAATCTCTAGCTGTTCGACGTTGGTGGACATGTCATCTTCTCCCACTACAGCTACTTCGACGACTGCCTCAACGAAGCCCTGCCCAAGCCCGACGACTGGTACACGCACAAGCGCATCTCGTACTGCCGCTACCAAGGCCAGTGGGTTGCCTACCCCTTCCAGAACAGCATCGCCGCGCTGCCTCAGGAGGAGCAGTCAAAATGCCTAGAGGGCATCATAGAGGCTGCCCTGCAGGCCCGTGGCCGTGATCCCGCAGACAAACCCAAGAACTTTGACGAGTGGAATATCCGGAATCTGGGACAACGCCTGACCGACATCTTCATGCGACCGTACAACTTTAAAGTTTGGGCCGTTCCCACAACAATGGTACGGGTTTACCGTTGTTTCGAGTTCCCAGCTGACAGACGCTTCTTCATTCTAGATGAACGCGACGTGGCTCGGAGAGCGAGTCGCCGCGCCTAATGTCAAGCTTCTCACGTCCAACGCTGTGCTGAACAAGGTGGCTGGACCATGGGGGCCCAATGCTACTTTCCGCTTCCCGGCGCGTGGCGGAACCGGTGGCATCTGGATCGCCGTGGCCAACACCTTGGACAAGCACAAGACGAGCTTCGGTCAGCATGCCACTGTGACAAAGGTCGACGCTGACGCAAAGAAGGTGTATCTGAAAGATGGTGAGTCCAAGGTAAACCCCCAAAGCAAGATTCTACTGACGGCTGGAACTGGAGGCACCGTGGTCAAATACTCGTCTCTCATCTCGACCATGCCTGTTGACCACCTCGCCGCGTCCATGGGCGACGTCAAGCTCCAGCAGATGTGCAAGCGTCTGTTTTACTCCTCCACTAACGTAATTGGTGTTGGCATTCGCGGAAAACGCCCCGAGCGTATCGGCGACAAATGCTGGGTCAGCACTTACACGGGCGTCCACCCGAAATGCATCCAAACCGATGCTAACCATCATCAATAGCTGTACTTTTCCGAGGACAATTGTCCCTTCTACCGGGCCACCATCTTCTCCAACTACTCCCCATATAACCAGCCGCACGACAAGGTTGAACTAGTCACCAAGCAACTGGCCAACGGCAAGCAGCCAAAATCGTCGGCACCGCAGCCAGGACCCTACTGGTCTCTTATGCTCGAGGTCTCTGAGTCGTCGTACAAGCCTGTCAACCATGAAACGCTTCTTGCGGATTGCATTCAGGGCCTTGTCAACACGGAGCTATTAGACCCTGAAGATGAGATTGTCAGCACATATGTCCGGCGCTTCGACCACGGATATCCTACGCCACACCTGGATCGCAATGACGCCCTGGCAGATATCTTGCCCCATCTTCAAAACAAGGACATTCTGTCCCGGGGCCGCTTTGGCTCATGGAAATATGAAGTTGGCAACCAGGACCACAGGTGAGTCACGACTTGTTGCCTCGCGCTTGGGAAAAGCCATGCTCATCTCTTCTTGGCAGCTTCATGCTGGGCGTCGAGGCTGTGGATCGCATCCTGTTCGGTGGCATCGAATTGACACTGGGATACCCCGACTTTGTCAACGGCCGCGCCAACACGGAGCGCCGCTTGAATATTATCACGAGCTTATCCAAGCGGTCATGAGGAGCGTATGAACTGGAATTGGCAGCTATTCTTGTTGGTCTCGCTGGTAATGATGGCTTGCACCTTGCTGTAAGATACGTGTTTCCAAGACTAGGCATAAAGATCATCGAATTTACCACCAAGCTAGGCGGTGCATACTCATTGAGTGTCAACTACCAGTTGTTATAGCAGCTCCTGGAGCAGCATACTGGCTGTAGTCCACTGGCACCTTCAATGTTGGGTTGAAAGTGATATTAACTGCTGGGGAAGAGCGGCCGGAACCAAGGCACACAGTACTTGCCCTAGTAATTCTATGTACCAGTTGACCTCAATCATTGTTCCGAGTTTCTGCCGATTTCATGGATCTGGGACTCAGACTCCATCTTTAGCTTTAGCCCTTAAATTGCAATTGCTCATCTGGCAGGATATATGCTATCCTGGGACCTACATATTTAAATTTATCTGCAACCCGATATGGCTGTGTGTCGCGAGCAGTTTGATAAGACAAATCCACGAGACCGCAATTGGGTCTTCTGTACTTGAACCTTTGTGTAACCGACATGACTTTTAAAGGTGACTTCGATAGAAGACCCTGAGCGTTCACTTCTCTTCTAGAAAAAAAAAAACAAAGCAAAGACATTTCATTCCTCAAGGAACACAAGGGCCAATCGTTGATAGTACTTTCAAGTAACTATCAGTCAGCCACCCTCTTAACAAGGCGGTTTCAGATATTTTGTATGCCTCTTCCCTCTGACTGTGACAAGGGCTAAAGGCTTGGAGTATCATGACTCGATTCATCTAATAAAAGACTTTGGTATTAAAGATCCTTCGTTTTCCTCAAGGCCTAGTTAACCAAAGAAGTCTATTTATACAAGAAGTTGCTCGATTAGACCGCCTCGCTTGCCCAAGGGAAGGCCCTGTTGCGCCGAAACAGCTTCATCTTGTTTGCGTAGAGAAAACGCAGATACCCGCCAATTCTCGGTCAAGTCAATATGACAACCATTCCATTGCCCCTGCCGCGAGAGAAAACCCAATAGTTGCTATGTTCAAGCCTTTCGGCACCATAACAGACGCAGCTGCGCTCTTCTTTGAAGCCGTGGTGGCTGCAGCAGAGCTGGAAGCCCCAGATTCAGAATCCTTTCCATTGCTCGCTGAAGCCGCAGTAATCGTGTAAATGACCTTGTCGCCCCCATTCGTATAGGAGAAGACGGAGCCGCTCGGTGGTGCAGTAACAGATCCAGGATTGTTGCTCAAAGTCGCGGTGCCACTGGTAGGCAAGCTGCTAGGCGGGAAATATGTGCTCACGCCTGCCAACGAGAAGTTGAGATCTGATGCGCAGTTGATCTTGGTCATCGGCTGGCATTCGCGGAAGTTGATGTCGAGCTGGGTCTGGATCTTGGATACCGAGGCCATGCCGACTAAATCGGGTTTCGTGTCGGGACATATCTCGAAAATACTAGATCAAAACAGTCAGACGTTGCGGCAAAAAGCATGACCGAGAATACAACTTGCACAACGCGCCTGCTCACCTCGACATGGCGCCGCTGATTTCGCAACAGCCACAAGCGCCAATCTTGTCACCGCGTAGAATGGTATCCGCGCCATGTACGTTTTTCATGCAGCTCGCGCCCTGGGTTATGCTGTCTGTAATAGCTTTGTACACCTTGCCGACGTTGCATGAGCAAGCACCGGCAGCATTGTCCGGAATGGGAAAATACGGAACAGGTAACTTGGCGATAGGACAGTCCATGAGATACGAGACGAGGTATTCTTGGTACTCGCATTCCCAGACACGGTTCCAACAGTGCGCCGCATAGCAGTTGTAGTTCAGGATATAGTCTTCGCACGCACAGGCCTGCTGAGCTACCCCGTCGCCCTTGGTTTTTGAGAAACAGGCGTCGATCTTTTGATTTGCGACGTTTTGACAGCTCTGAAATCCAGGAGCATCAGCGCATCCGTTGCTGGTCAAGTTGCCCACGGCGTTGGCAATGGCCGCCACAGAGAGAAGCGTAAGCAGCCTGCGAGACATGGTCGCAAATTATTGCTTCGAAGATTGGTAGACCCCGAAGAAATTGCTCTCTGTGTGCTTTGAATGCTCTATACAAAAAAAAAACTTTTGTCCCTTCTTTATTTCGGACTGGCGGCCTAGACGCCCCTGTGTAATACCATTTTGCGTGAGGCTGAATTCGATTTGCCGTTTAACCGGCACTACGCGGAAACCATGTTCAGCACAATGCTTACATGACTTTTAGATTGGTCAGCTTATGTGCCACGAGGGGTCGACGGTTCGACTTCCGCTCAAAGCTTTACGCTACAGGCTAAAGCTGATTGTTTGAACAGGGAAGGTCGACGGGCCTGAGCCCAGCACGCTACATAGTCCGTTGATGGAGAAACGCGAATTCGCATGCAAAGAGTAGAAGACTAATCATGACCCTTGCCTTGTATCGTGTTTATAAATTCAATTTTTGGAACTAGGTGTAGACATATGGCGATGATGCCAAAGACGCAATCTTGACACCAATTCAGGCGCCGGCAATCGCAGAGTTGGCGTATATGCAGATGAACCATATGCAGCATTTATAGTCTTGTCAAACAGCTGTCTGTGGACAAAGCGCTCGTTTCGAGGATGGTTTCACAACATATTATTTGTTTCGTATTTTTAACCCTCTTGCTGCCTAGCGAAAGAATCTGCGGTGTTCCTTCCTTGTTGCACGAGACAAATTAGCCACATGTGCAACTCCCCAAAATGGCTATTCGTACCATCAGCCGGAAGTCCGGCACGGTGGTCTTGTGGATGAGCTTGGTTCGTGAACAAGGTTCAATGTTCTACAATTTCAGCCCTAGAAGCTTATGCGCACTGAGCAACCGGATCGCAACGCGACATCATGCTAGCATCGAGGAGTGCTTGGATTTTAAACGCCTGAATCTGCCGTGCTGCATTACCAGAATGTACGCGCCTAATTAAAACCTGAACAAGGCACGGCCCCAGATTGCCCGGACTCCTCGCTTTTAGTCTCCATTTTCTGGCCCCTTTTCTTACCAAGAATCATGATGAGTGATAAAAAGCTAAATGGTCGCCTCGGAGTCTAGTATAGACTGAGAAACTTGCAGATGCGTTGAAGTTACAATACCTAGATACTATATTAAGAAGATTGGACTAATGTTGAGAAACAACATTCAATAATATGCATTGCTTTAACCGAGACAAGTGGCCGTAGGATGTATCACAAAGCTCGTCTTCTGATCGCGCTCTTCCCCCCAATCACTTGAATCACATTCGACTAATACAAAAGGGTACACAGATCCCGCATAACCGGATACTTGAACACATCCTTGACAGCAAGTGGCAAGCCAGTCTTGCGTGCCAAACCAACTAGCTTCATCGCCCCGATGGAATCACCCCCGATGCGGAAGAAACTGTCGTCGATGCTGATATTGCCAGGCTCCATGTTGAGCACTTCAGCCCAAAGTCCCTGCATCAACTTTTCGGAATCAGTCGTCGGCGCCCTGCGCTCGCCCTCAGTGCGACTCAACGCGGCGATATCCGTCAACGTCAGAGAAGACCCGTAGCTGCGCAAGTGCCGACGGTCAGTCTTCCCCGTCGGCGTCATGGGAATGTTTCGAACCGGAATGTACACGCTCGGGATCATGAATGGCGGTAGCCGCTCGCCCAATTCTCCTGCGACACCACGCGTTGCACCTCGTATTGCCTGTTCGTAGTCTTGATCGCTCACTTCGTCCCCGGAACCCAAACAAACAAATGCCACCAACATGATTCCGTGGCTGCCCTTTGGCCGGATTGTCTCAGCTACAACTGTGACCATGTTGCCTTGCGCTGCAGTAGAAACCGCATCTTGCACATAATGCTCGACTTCCTCCAGCTCTACTCGCTGTCCGCGAATCTTGACCTGCGTGTCTTTTCGGCCCTTGAATACGAGACTGCCGTCCTCGCGGTATTGCACCAGATCTCCCGTGCGGTACGCTCGGCCGCGGCGGCCAGGCCGCTTGCCAGGAACGCCGCGAAGAAGCCATTCGGGATCTTGGACGTAAGCTGCCTTTGTTTTCGCCGGGTTGTTGACGTACCCTGCTCCGACGAGGGCTCCCTCCAGCCAAAGCTCGCCTACTGTCCCAATGGGCGCCAATCTGTCAGGATGATCCGCATCAACAACCCAGGTGCATAGCCCGGATGCAAGACCCAAGCCACCGTCGCTGTGACAAGTCAAGGGCAATATGAGGCTGGTTGGCGTGCACTCTGCCGGTCCGTATGCACTGACTACGCGTGCCCCCTCACGTACATATTGTGCGTCGCTGGGTAGGACAACCTCGCCACCTAGAAGCATCGTGGACAGCTGCGTGAGGGCCGTCTTTGGCTCGATATTGCGCAAGACGGATGGTGTGAAATCCGCCACTGTAGCTTGGTACTTTTCCAAGCAGCCCGAAATGCTGTCTTGCCGCTCTTCCGCTGATGGTATGCACAAGCATCCGCCTGCCGTCAGGGTATTCAGCATATTAGACCATACCACATCGAACGCATACGATGAAAAGTCCAGAACGCGCGAGTTGCTTTCGAAGCCAAGCAACTCTCTTTGGTGAACAATTGCGCTGCAGTAATTCCCATGCGTGACCATGGCACCCTTGGGCACGCCCGTGGTGCCGGATGTAAATATTATATACAGAATATCCGAGGCATCGATTTCCGGAAGGCTGGGTTCGTGGTCCAAAGACAAGGCGAACTCGAATAGTCGTTCAAGATCCACTGATATGACCTTGTCAGCGCCTAGCCTTTTGGCCATGTCGGTATAGGCCACAGAGGCCAAGATTGTCTTTGCTTCAATCTGTGCCGTCATGCCTCGTAGACGCTCCTCTGGCTGGTTGGACGGATCTGTAGCAACACACGCAGCACCAGTCTTCATGATGGCCAATGCAGATACTGGCATCCACATGGATTTCTCAAAGCACAGCGGAATCATGTCCCCCTTTTCGACCCCAACCTTTCTCAAATGATAGGCCAGAGTAGTAGACAAGTCGTCAAGCTGTTGGTAGCTTAGGGACCCGTCCCATGCATGTATAGCAGTGGCGCAAGGTCGTCGGTGGACAGTCTCACGGATCATGCGAGGCATGTTGTCGGACACAGCTTCGGGAAGCTTTGCGTTCCAAGTCCAAATATCCTGGAGGTCTCTGCTGCTCGTCATTGACACATCCTGCACCCTGAGTTCTCTTGCTGCCGGGCTGAGAAGTTGCTGATGCACATGCTCGAATTGATAAAACAGCCGTGTGACCTCGTTCTCGGACAGTGTGCTGCAATCAAATTTAATGCTAACGCAAGACCCCAACTGTGTCTTGATATACTTCAAAAATATGGCATAGTCGCCCGACTGCACTTGCTGAGCATCATCGTTATTGACGGAGAGAACGCTCTGGAAGTCGCATGCCAGAGAAGCTTCAGCACTAATGCGGCGGATTCGTTGCAGTCCGGTTCTTTTGAAAACATCCATATCTTTTCCCTGTTTCTGAATAAACTGGAGGAGATTGTTCACATTGCCGGTCCAGGCGATTGGGATACGAACCGGTAGTAGGGAGTGCTCCTCAGATGCGAGACCAAATATTGCCTCTGTGGAATCCAGCATTCTTGCTGCAACAATGGCCCAAGCTGCTTGAATATAAGTACGAGACTCAATGTCACTGTCGAGGTGGAGGCCGCCTTTTTGGAAGAGCGAAACCTCTTTGTAGGTTCGTGGTCGCTGGACTCCTGGCGGTGACGGGAAATGACTGCTCGTAGTTCCTTGAAACTGCTCTCTCCAAAAGGCGGTGGTTGTGACTTCATCAGTTCCAACAATCTGTTTGTAGAAACCGTCAAAGACTGAGACATTCGAGGACACAGTTATTGAGCCATCATCGCCCTTGGGTAAGTGATTGTCATAATTGGCCTGAAGGAGGTAAGTCACGGCCATGGACAAGACATCACATGCCTGAGCAGCAACAGATTGTTGGATATAAGGTTCGCGATACTCCACAACAAGATCAATGTTGCTGCCATCAATGCTGGCGCTGAGGCCCATGTCAAACTGCAACTTGTTAGCGGCGACTCCTCACAGTAAGAAATTATCATTCAGATAACCTACTTCATGGGGATCTTCTCCAGCACTGGCCTCAAATGACAAGCTCCTCTTTTCATAGCTCTTTAGCTTATCCGACTCCCTGATGGACAAAGATGTGTTGAACAATTTCTTGCCTGAAATACCCAATTCGTGCTGGATCTCGGCCAGTGATGCATATTGCATGGCCAAATGCTGTATCGACCTGGTGGACACAGACTCCAAGACGCTGCGAGGCGAATCTCTCAAATCAATGCGGCTGATGAGTAAATTTGCCAGCGGTCCCACGATCCCTTCAATGCCATCTATAGGAGCATCCCGGCCCGAGGCCAAGTAGCCGAAGCAAACCTCATCCATTCCGGTAAAAGTTGCAAGGACCATGGCCCAGGCAACCTGGAAGAAAACAGCACGAGTGATGCCGAGATTCATACACAGTCTAGAGACCTCGGCCAATTCCAAAGGCGGCACGGGGATGTCGCCATGGCGCTCATCACCTGCGGAGGCGGTGTGAATTGCCAGCGGGAATTCACAAGGAGTCACTCCAGTAAGCATAGAAACCCATGGGGAAATACGCTGGGCACGGGGAATGCTGCAAATATGGCTCATGACACGTCTAAATGGCGGCACTGGAGCAGGCACAATGCCGTCATACAAGTTGATCAACTCTTGCAAGATGACCGACATGGAAGCCGCGTCCATGAGGGCGTGGCTGATGTCTAACCTGCAAGCAACGTCCCCGTTGTCAGATTGGCAGACGAAAAATACGTGCTGGGGCTCATGGGCCTCAAAATGCGGCCGTTGAAGAGTATTCAGCATGGCGTCGGGGGCTTGTGAGCCAGACTTAACAAACTTGGCCTGGACGTTGGCGTTCTTCAGAATAATCTGAATGAAACCATCTCCTTCTGGATGTAAAGCGAAAACAGTAGACAGAATCGGATGTCTCTGTACCAATCTGGTCCACGCGGTTCGTAGTCTCTCGGGCTCAATCGTTGTCGCCATTCCCTCGGTAGCCAAGCAGCGCCAAGTTGAACAAGTTGCATACGAGGCAGATTCCTTCTCTGAGCTCAGTAGAATGCCCTGCTGGAGTGGTGAGCAGGGCAAAATATCAACCACATTCTCAGCCTGTATTCCTAAACTGGGAAGCTGATGGCAAAGCAAGGCGTCTAGAGCACCATATGACATTGGTAGCAGCGGAAGGTCACTAAGAGTGAAGCTGGCACGCGATTTGGACAGTTCGGTGACGGCGCTCCGTACAGATGTTCCAAACTCCTGGGCCCATCTTTGCAATCGTTCTTGGTGTCTCATGTTTTGATGAACTTGGAACGATACCATGAGCCAGTCGTCTTCCACATCGGCGGTGATTTCAATCATGGTAAGACGGTGAGCTGTCGGTGATACATCAACCATGTCGTAATCACTATCGCCAAGATGCTCAGGGCGTTTGAACAATCCTTCTTCAGCTTCAAGCTGTTGAAATCTGCCGGTGAAATTAAAGGTGACCTCTGTGATGTCTTGTCCTTTGGCGGCCTCGCGACCAGATTCACTGTAGAACCGGCAGGCAAAGTAAGGCTGACCCTTTCCAGGGACCTTTCTCCTGATATCTTTGGCAAACCTGATAGCTTCTATAACGGAGTCACCGGGCTTCACGGGGATAGGAACAGGGTGGAGAGTCGTGAACCACCCTACCGTTCCTGAAATATCGACAGGGAGATTCTGCGAGTACTCACGACCGTGTCCTTCGAGCCAAATAGTGGGTAAGCATCTTTCCGGGAAAATTCGGTGAAATGAGTGCGCCATGGCACCTAGCAAAATGTCCACAGGCTCCGTTCGCAGGCATTCGTTGGCATCTCCAAATATCGCATTGGTAACGGATGACTCGAATTCCTCCGTGATTAGGGTACAGTTGCCGAATGTGTTCTCACCCAAGGGAAGTCCCCAGAATTCCAGATCCGGAAGCGGAACGCTGTATGGCAGCACTGAAATCGGAGAGGCATGACGGTTGGCCCTAATTTGACGCCTTAGCCATGATTTCCACGACGTCGATGGGGTCGAGATCAGGTTCCCGTGCCTGATGTGATCTTCAATATCGCCCCAGATAATTCTCCACGAGACGAGATCAACGACGAGGTGGTGTGCCGAGAGGGTAACAAGCTGAACGTCCCCAGCAATGTTGAAGAGGTCGCAAGCAAACACTGGGCCATTCTCAATGTCGAGATGTTCCTGTCTCCATTGCGACAAAAGCATGACCTCATCCCGATTCGAAACATGATGTTCCACGAAAGCAAAGGAGGATGGACCTTTGGGAGCTATGCTCTGCTTCCACGCTGCGCCCGCGGCTGGGCGGTGGAAACGGTTCCGAAGGATGGCATGGCGATCAACAAGGTCCTTGACGGCGGCAAAAAATCGTGCTCCAGGAACCAGTGATCCCAGCTCTAGCACAAAAGTTTGATTGAAGTGGTTGAGTCCAGTTGGATACGCGTCAAAGAATAGTTGTTGGATAGGTGAGAGGTCGAATGGCTCAGAGCCCTCCTCGTCGACGCCTTCATCGTCATCGGGCATTGAATGGCGCGAGATAGACTTGCAATGTGACGCCAATTGCCTTATGGTTCCTGACTGTAGAATATCTGCAACGGTAATGGAAATGTTATGCTGTCTGCATTGAGCAACAACTTGCATTGCCGAAATGGAATCGCCGCCTATTCTCGTGAAAGCCTTGTTAACTGAAACCTCTTGAGCAGACAAATTAAGGACCGCCATCCAAATTTGCTGAAGCAGCTTCTCAACATCAGTCAGTATTTCCTGGGTGGCAGTCTTGTCGGGCATTTTTCTGTACTCTTTCCAAGCTGACTCTGCAATGTCTCGAAGCTGCTGTCTGTTTGTTTTGCCGCTTGGGGTCATGGGAATTTTCCGTATTGGTATATAGGAAGCCGGTACCATGTATATTGGAATTTTTTCCTGCAAGCGATCATTGCTTACTTGGACAAGACTTTGGACTAGCATTCGATGCTGTTCATCAGTCAACTCGGCTTCGGAGCCTTCGAGTGCAACAAATGCTACCAAGACGGCGCTCGAGGCTTGTTTTGGTCGAATCGTCTCTGCAACTACAGTCAAGGTCTTGATGTCGTTGCTTTTAACCGAATCCATACTACTTGCAATGTGGTGCTCGAGATCTTCCAACTCCACACGCTGTCCTCGTATCTTGACCTGTGTATCTTTGCGACCCACGAAGATGAGTTCACCAGAACTCGTGTATCGCACGAGGTCACCAGTTCGGTATACATGGCCAGTCCGTCCGGGGTGGCCGGGGGCTCCTCTGGAAAGCCAAGCCGGGTCTTTAACAAATACTGTCGCTGTTTTGTCAGGATTTGCAAGATATCCTTGGCCAACAAGCGGCCCTTCAACCCAGAGCTCTCCAATTTCACCAAGAGGTGCCAAGAATTGCGAGTTATTCACGTCGATCACCCAGGTACAAACCCCGGCGCCCCGACCGATGGTAATTCCTTCGGCAGAGACTTCAGATAAAGTAACAGTAGGTGTGCATTCGGCTGGCCCATATACGTTGATGACGGCAGTCTTGTCTCCAGCCAGAGAAGCATCAGTAGGGACGACGGCTTCGCCGCCCAGGATAAGGGTACTTAGATCGGACAGCACCTTTGGTCCCAGCATACGTGCAACAGATGGCGTCAGATCTACCGTGGTCACATTGTACTTTTTGAAGCACTCAGCCAATTGATTCTCTCTCTCATAGGCCGAGGGTATGCACAGACAGCCTCCACTCGTCAAGGCATGGATTATGTTGCACCATGATGCATCAAAAGCATACGATGAGAAATCAAGCACCCTAGAGCTGCGGGAGAACATCAAGCGCCTTTGCTGGTGCGTGATAGCTGAACAGAAGTTGCCGTGTGACACCATCGCACCTTTAGGTGTACCAGTACTACCAGATGTGAATACCGTGTACACGGTGTCGGACGGTTGTACCAGGGGCAACTTTGTGGGCAAATGTAAAGGTTCGAGGCATTGTTGTCCGGGGCCAACGATCAACACGTCGCCGCTGCCAGCTATCTTTCTTACCAAGTCTTGGTTTTCGGCAGATGATAGCGCCACCGGAGACCCGAGTTGTGAGATTAACGAGCGTATTCTTTCCTCTGGTAGCTTCATGTCCACAGCGACAACACCGGCGCCGGCTTTCATGACAGCTACCGCGGCTACAGGCATCCACATGGACTTTTCAAAGTATAACGGGATGAGGCAGCCGCGAACATTGAGACTGGCTAGTCTCTGTGCTAAATTCTCGGAAAATTCAGCCAACTGGCCATAGGTAAGATGGCCGTCCCATGCACAAATGGCGGGGGCAGACGAGTCCTCCAAGGTTCTCTGTGTAATCAAGTCGTGAACACACAGTTCTGTAGGCTCTGGCACAACTCTATTCCAGGCCCAGATTTGATCTAGACCAAAAGGAGTGAGTGTTTCACGAAATACGTTCCGCAATGTCTGCCTCCTTACCCGCGGGTCAGACAATTGGCGAATAACCGTCTCCAAGTTGGCAGCAACGTGTGCCATTTTCGTCTCCGAAACTAGTGTTGAGTCGAATCCTAAACGCAAATGAACACCCTTTGCCTCCAATTGGCATTCAATAACTAGAGCATAAGTACTGAAGTCTTGCCACTTGTTTGCATTTTCCCCGCCGTGGGCTTCGGTCAAGAACTCTTCTTCTGGCTCGACGCTACCACCACTACTTGGGGGCTGCACAACAAGAAGCGTTTGGAAGTTGCAGGCTAGACTGGGCTCTTCTCCCAGGCGACGGATATGCTGTAAGCCAGTTTGCTCAAATGGGATCATGTCAACGGACTGTTGCTGTACACGATGCAATATTGACTCCACGTCTTTGTCCCAGTCTAGAACGATGCGTAGAGGAACGGTTGCAATCGTAGGACCGGTTATCCTTTCGATTCCTGAAACTGGAGCTTGCCTACCCGTCACGGTGACGCCGAACAGGGCTTCGTCTGAATTCGTGTTGTGCGCAGACACAATACACCAAGCCGCACGGAGTATAGTTGACGAAGTAAAGTCGCTGTTGAACCAGTCTAGATCTGATACAGACACTTCGAGCTTCTGATCAGGTCTTGGGTTATCTGTGTTCTTGGGAGTTGGGAAATGACAGCCTTGGATGCCGGCAAACTGGCTTCTCCAAAATTCGTCCCGAGAGTTCTTATCCATAGTAGTGACGTAATCAAGAAATGCATCTATGGACTCCAAGTCCTGAATCTCATTTCCGTAATAGACATCTTGCACATCTTGGAGTAGCAAATTCATTGACCATCCGTCGTATAGAGCGTGGTGGATTTCCCATAATAGAAAAAGATCACCTTCAGCATTCTCTGGAAGAAGGGAGAATCGGGTGAGAGGTGTTCCCAAGCTCATCACTGAGTCTTCTTCCGCCAGACTTTCCACCCAGTGCGTTTCTTCAGCTAAAACTGCCTGAACAAGTGCATTATCAGGAAGGCTGACTATGCGTGTGCGTAGAATTGTGTTCATCATAACAACATAATCCCATGCCGTTTTCAGCTTAACGAGTTCCACATTTTTGCCGATTTTGAAAACATTTCTTGCAACGTAATCACCAGGATGTTTTACGGTCAGAGCCAGTAGTCCTTCTTGTAAAGGCGTACAGGGAAGAATATCCAATACTCTAGATTCTTCAATATTGCATAGTCGAGAAACCTGGGAGCGTGCTTCTCGGCTTTCGACGGCAGACAGGAGAGCCGGTCTAGGTTCTCCTCTATTCTTCGAGCGATGTCGACGGCAAACCTCTGATATATTCTTCAGGAAGGGGTGTTTATAGATGTCTCTTGTGTTGATGCACATGCCAGAAGATGCGACAGCTTTGCAAAGCAACATGGCCTGAACCATATCGCCCCCCATTCTGAAAAAGTGACTATCCCTGCTAATCATCGCCGGATCGACGGGCAATATCGCGGCCCAGATATTTTGCATTGTGGATTCAACTTCATCTTGGGAAGCCTCATCATGCTGTATATAGAGCTCCGAATCTTGGCCATGGCCTCTCAAAATAGACCGTCTCAGGTCAAGCTCAGAGGCGCTCAAGTCAGCACTGACAACGCAAGTTTCACCTCCTAGACCTTTTCCTAATAGCTGGATGGTCCCATCTTGCCTGTATTTGGCTAGGGAACCGGTTCTCAACAATAATCCATTGCGGCCTGGATGGTTCTCAGTACCATTTACCAGCCAGGGAGGGTTTTCCACAAAAGACTGATCTTTATCAACACCACCTTGACCTAATAAAGGCCCTTCGATCCACAGTTCACCAACTTTTCCTATTGGCGCAAGTGACGTTGGATCGTCCATGTCAATTATCCATAGGCACAGTCCATATACTCGTTGGGAGAATGTGGTCTCATCCATATTTGACTCATCTGATGCCAATGATTGCATGGAGGCTTTAATTGAACTGACTCTCCAGTCTCCATCGAAGACGCCTGAATCGCTAGAAAGAGCTTGATCTTCCCCATTATAGGGGATAATTGTCTTTGCGATAGGGATGACCGAAGCCAGCTTGGCACATCCATATGCACTAAAGACTGTCAGCTCAGTTTCTCCTAGGCTGAGCTCCGACAAGCTAGTCTCTTCGCTGAAACAGTTGACTTGAACTAGAGTTGATATATCCTCGTAGTTTAGATCATGAGCCCAATCCGGCGTAACAAATGCGCAGTTGGCATTGCCAGGTGCTGACTTGGGCAGTACGATGCCAGAATCGCGATGAGGTGAGGGCATGCAGAGGCAGCCCCCAGAGGATAATGTGTGTAGAAAGTAACACCAGGCCACAGGGGATGTATATGATATATAATCAAGGGTACGAGTGTGTTTGCCGAATCCAAGCGCCCTTTGTTGATATACAATGGCACTACTGAATTGGCTGTGGGTAACAGTACCCGTTGCAGAAAAATTCTTCGATGTTGCGTCCAAAGTTGAAAAGAGGCCATCTGAAGGAGTCACTTTAGGCAACTGTGAAGATCTCGGCCTGGTTGAAAGCTCCAATAGAAATTGGTGATCCAGAATTAGGATGTCCTGCACACCTGAATCTGTCAATGCTGGATGGTTTGCTGCTGAAGAGATACAAAAAGAGGTACAGAGTTGTTTCAAAGACTCCGGGCCTCCTAGTTGAGGAAAGGAGCCGTCAACGGCAATAGACACTCCGCCGGCCTTCATCACGGCCATGATTGCAATGGGTGCAAGCAACGATTTTTCAAGGGACAAGAGAACATGATTTCCGACTTTGAGGCCAATGTCGACAAGATGATGAGCTAATGTGCTAGAAATATTGTCTAGTTGTTGATATGTCAAGTCGCCATCCCAAGAACACACAGCTTGGCGATTGGGAAAGTCCCAAACTGTGCGCTTGATAAGACCATGGACGCAGGCCTCTACACTTTCGGGGACTGAGGCATTTTGAGACCAAATGTCGTCAATAGACACGCTTTTCACATCTTGAAGATTGTCTGTGGACATGACGTTTTCCCCAACGGTAGGATGTGAAATGATTGGTTGACTCTGGAAGTGCATCATGGTGAGTCTCAGGTCTGAGATGGTATCCCAGTGCCAGCCGGGTTATAAATGGAAAAAAGTCAGAAATAAATTCAAGTCTTATGGGAGAAGAAACGGGACTCTTATTCCTCAAAATATGCAAATATTGCTCATAGTCAGCGGGGAAAACTTCAAGTCATTGTAATATTTCAGCGCATCGGTCTAGAATATAACAAGCCAACAACCCCAAATACCGTTACGTAAGATGCATCACACATTTAATCACTATGGGTTAAATTGGTTGCGGTGTTGCATACAGTGCAGCAAGTATTTGCAGAACATGTAAATCGAATTACACGGCCTGTAGTCGATCTGCACGGGCGGACAGCAAAGGAAACGCCTGCAGACCAACATCACAAGACGTACGGATTTCAAACGCCAAGATCACGTCATGGTATTTTGTTCACTTTCTACTGAAATGGACCCCACGGAGTATTCGTTTCTTGGTGTGGTTTCTCGGATTCTAGTGTACGACATAATTTCTATCTGCCGAGTAGGAGCTGGAATGGGACGTTTCAACGCTTCAGTTACATAAAAGTGTGACAAAACAGGAAGGTTATGGCCTATAAGACCGCGTCAAGGACTAACGTAGCGTAAAGAGACAACTAGGTAGCCAATAATTTCCACGAGTTGGCTCTTGAAAAGTTCTTTTCCCTGTAGCTGAATTTCTTCCTTGTCATTCCTGGTTGGAAAGTGTGCAAGGCTCGGATGCTCAATTCGCTTGACCATGCCATTGTTATTAAGTGGCTGCTTATGGACATGCATCTCCATCAAGCCAAGCTATTTGTAACTTGGTCTAGACTTGAATCCCTTGCCCGGGAGACATAAAATATCCGAGTGGAAGAGTGTAAGCGCCTGGACTCATTATGTGCCAGCCGGGTGCTATTGACACAATGTGGGTTAAGGTACCTGTAGGAGCACCCAGTGAAGAGTGCCGAAGCTTCCGAGATAATAATTCTCTGTGGGCTCGGCGCCGGTTCGGACATGTTGTGTCAAATATTGACCACCCTCCACTGTCGCCGGGCCAAGTGTGCTGTTTACAGAAGTCAAACTGCAACAGCTTCAGCTCTGCATTCGTCATCAGCGTTCATAATCCAAAGCACTTTATACTAGCTCCTTGAATGAGAATGTAACATTGAAACGGGTGTGCCATGCTATAGCCCTTGGTAGCGTTACATATGTCACTTTCCAGAAGCGTCCCATTGATAAGTGTGGCATGGCATCCCCGTTGAAGGAAAAGCGGCTGGTAGGCGAGCATGTTATAATGAGTGTATATTGCATGACCCGTGTCGTATCGCCCGCAAGCTGTCAAAATCAGCTGCAGCCCCAATAGTTGAGGCTCCCTGGCTCCATTTCAACAGCCACATTCGAAACTCAGGCACTGGTGTCGCCATACAGAGGAGCAGGCTAGGATATGCTATCTGAGATTCGTCGTTCTATCGCTTCCGGATCTCCCCCATCTTGAAAGGAGTCGTTTCTCACCTGCCGATCAATAATTCCCCCACCACCGGCACAATGATCAATAATGCATAAGATGGGGCAAGAAGACATGACTTAGGCACGGCATTATTTTGCCGTCAGGTTTAACTGAAATAAGCAGCAGCTAGCACAAACAGTCAGGGGTCTGCCTTGGAACGGGAAGCATGTATTGCATATAAGCCTGCACCGATGGCGCCATGCAGCCAGTTTCTTCGCAACGGCACTGAGCAACCGTGGTCTCTATTTTGCCTCCATCTCGCCATGAGCCGTCTCGGCGTTCTGGGCAACCCCTCCATCATTGTCTTGGCTCACGCCACACCCAAACATTCAAGCGAGTTCTTCTAAGTTTGGAGGCGGCAAAACCTACCATCCTGGTTACGAAGACAAATGTTCCCTGCAGCGAGACAATGCGGGGAAGGTGTCATTGCATTGTCGGTCGTACAATGTATTGCAGCTACGCCCGCCCTAAATTCGTGTTCATGCAAAGTTGGCCGGGCACAAGGACGACTCTGGCAAATATCTGGTTGCATTGAAGCCGGGGCTCCGCATGCTTATAACAAACCATCGTCTCAAGCCGCACCTCTCTCTGCATCAAACGCCACTTTCCCCCGAAATCGTGTGGGGAAACAGCTTACGTCACCGTCATCGAAACAGCTGTTATTTCCGCACATGCTGGCAACAAGTGGTGAAGTGACGGCCGCGCCAAGACGCAGTATGCAGTGTTTGCTAAAGGGAGTATCTTCCCATCATATATTGGATGTAAGTCAGCTTACAGCCGCAGCTGAGAGAAATACAGGCCTCTTATGACAAGAGATGGGCGTTTTTCATCTCGGCAGCGTTTGTTGCGAGATGGTGTGCGGGAACGGTCGGCTCGGCACAAAGGCGGACGATGGGCGCCATTTCATCGAAACAATGGAAAAGTGGCGCCCATCTGCTTACCACCCCTTATTTATCATAGCGAATAAGCTGTTGCGTTGTACTTCAGGGCAAATTGTGCTACCTATCCCTCCGTCCGGCAGTTATGACTCTTATGAGCAATCTTTCGGCTGGTGTTCGGTATTAGATGCATCTCGGTCATCCAGTCAGATGGCTGACACAAGAGCCAATTCTTGACCGATTTTCGGTCCCTATTTTTGTTTTCCTGTTACCTAGCTACTACGGCAATTTTACAATTCGGAAATCCTTCAAACATACAAAGTATGAATTGCTCAGCAGCCGTGAACGACCGCTTCGGCCCAGCGGCCGGTGAAGTCTGTCCTGGCCGGTTTGACTTTACCCTTTTGTTTGAGGAATCAATCTTGTCAACGGTTCCTTTGGGTATTGCCTGTGAGTTTCCAGACTTTAAAATTGTTTTAAACATGACCCTTGACATGTCCAGGCCTCTGGGCGGTGGTCCGCATACATAGGCTCTCGCACGAAACAGTCAAAGTCAACGACTCAGCAATATTGCCATTGAAGCTGGTATGGAATAAAACATGTTCTCTACTCCATCACTAGTTCCTTGACGTGATTCATACAGGCGCTCTATGTTTTAATCACGTCTTTGCACGTTGCCCTCCTGGTGCTATGGCAGCTTGGCGACGCGGGAAGAAGTCGATTCACACTTCCATGTCTCATACTAGCATTGCCAGGCTACGTCCTATTGGCAGTTGTATCATATGCCGAGCATAAACGATCAGTTCGTCCATCGACTTTACTATGTTTATACTTTGGCATAACGTGTCTTTTGGACATGGCCCGAGTTCGCACCGCGTTTATGTTCTTAAACAGTTTAGCCGTATCTTGGGTTTTGCTGCTCTGCTTGGTTGTAAAGGCGTCGTTGTTTCTCGTTGAAGTATCTGAGAAACGCCACTTGTTGAAACCAGAGTGGAAGGATGTTGGCCCAGAGGAGACTGCGGGAATTGTCAACCGCGCATTCTTCATATGGCTGAACAACACGTTTATAAAAGGATTTCGCACCCTTCTTACAGTTGATGTGCTATCGTCACTTGATACTGAGATGCTAGAAGCTTCCAAGCCGACCAAATTGATATCATCGTGGGAAAGAGGTAGCAAGCCTATCGTGGCAACCCTTCCTTCCACTCCTCTCTCACGGAAAGGTTACTAATTCACTCGCAGCAAATCAAGAAAAAGATCATTCTCTATTCCTAACCTTCCTTTGGCACTACAAATGGGCTTTTCTAGCAGGTACTCTGCCGAGACTGGCCTACACCGGATTTAGTTACTCGCAACCGTTTCTTGTCGAAAGAGTATTAGACTTTGTAAGCGAAGACAGAGAGCCCGACAGCAAAAGCACCGCGTATGGGCTGATTGGAGCGTATGCAATTGTCTACGTAGGCCTATCTGTATGTTACTATCCATCTTCACATGGTGTTGCACATGCCTGATACAGTTAAACTAGTTGTCATACGCGGTCTACCAACACAAGACTTACCGGCTGTTGACCCTGTACCGCGGCAGTCTTGTCACAATGATATTCAGCAAAACATTGAGGATGAGCGCATCTTCCACTTCGGAAGCAGAAGCAATCACCCTTATGAGTGCTGATATTGACCGCATCGGGTCGAGCATGTCCCTTATACATGAACTCTATGCTAGTGTGATCGAGCTTGCAGTTGCTCTGTGGCTTCTGTATAGGTTGCTCGGAATAGCAATACTTGCACCAATTGGCTGGGTAATCTGTATGTCCAAGACCAGCGCCGTTTCATACTCACAGCAGCTTACGTCAACTAGTCTGCCTCATTGCCGCAGTCCCTCTTGCTAGAGCAGCGGGAAACGCCCAGATCCCATGGCTTGAGGCCATTGAGACCAGGCTCACGGCAACTGCCAAGGCACTTGGCAGCATGAAGGCCATCAAGATGACAGGGCTGGCGGACATTGTGTCTTCGCGCATTGCGGGCCTTAGGATGGATGAAATCAAAGCCTCCCGGCGTCATAGAGTCTTGAACGTTCTCGTCTTCATTTCTTGTATGCTCCCAATTGACTCGGATGTCCAGCTGGATGAGTGCTTGGCGCTAACAATGTTTGACAGACTTTGCTTCGACGGCGTTGGCGCCTGTATGGGCATTCACCGCATTCATACTGATCGCAAAAGCCCGTGGCTCTGAAACATTGACCGAGGGAGTAGCATTCGCAGTTCTCAGCATTTTCGAGTTGCTAAATCAGCCAATTATATATATTGTTGACGGAGTTGAGCACATCCAGACCGTCATCAACTCATTTCGGCGTATCCAGATTTATTTGACTTCGCCAGAGCGAGAGGACCAGCGAGATCTTCCCGCTCCAGATATGTCGTCTGACTCCAGCGTCTTTGGAAAGGATGACATTCATGGTAAAGTCTTAAAAGACGAGAAGATTATCATTTCGCAATCTCAATGCCCCGATATTATGCTGTCTCTGAATGAGGTGTCAGTGGGATATAACCTGGAAGAAAAGATTGTCCTTGATGGCCTGACCTTGACAGTACGTCGCGGACAGATCACGGTCATAGCAGGGCCTGTAGGGTGCGGCAAGTCAACATTACTACGAGCTATTTTAGGAGAAGTTCCATTCAAAGGGTCAATTGCGACTGGATTTAGAACAGCTGCGTACTGCCCACAAACCCCATGGTCAACCTGGGGCACGGTAAGGAATAACATTGTCGGTATGTCGCCTTGGGACAGAACGTGGTATGACACGGTTGTGGATGCGTGTGCTCTTGATGCAGATTTCAGAGAGTTGCCTGATGGAGACCAGACAATGACTGGGACTCGCGGATCACAATTGAGTGGAGGGCAACAAATGAGAGTGGTAAGAAGTCCCTCAACTGGCAATCAATCGCATATTCTAGTCCACTGAAGTTGTACAGTCATTCGCAAGGGCTCTGTATTCGCGGAATCCAGTCATGGTCCTCGATGACGTCTTGACGGGTCTTGACAGAACCACTGAGAGGCATATCATAGACAGAGTCTTCTCGAAGGATGGTGTGTTGAAGAAATTAAATGCGACTGCCATCATGGCTTCCAACTCAGGTGCGTAATGCTACATGCACAAGCCCGATTGAAGCTAATCTTCACAGCACACCACTTGGACCTTGGTGATCAAGTTATAGTCCTTGATGAGAATGGCAGGATAGTCCGTCTAGGAATCCCCAAAACTGTTTCTTTACCAATATCACCAATCCAGCCAGACATTACACGTCCTCAGCTGGGACTCGGTGAGCAGAACGACGATGCCGAGGTATGGCAAGAAATCGACATGTTGATTAACCCTGCGACGGAGCAAAATCGCTACGCTGGCGATATGAGAGTTTATGGGTATTACGCAAACATCGCGGGTCGTTGGACCATAGGCATATATCTATTTGCTTGCTGCACTTTTGTATTCGGCATGACGTTTCCATGTCAGTACATTCCAGCCTGCTACCTTAGAAGGAGTAAATACTAAGTAGAACAGCCGTCTGGATGCAGTGGTGGACAAACGCAAACGCCGAGCACCCAAATGAGAGAACGGGGTATTGGCTGGGTGTATACGGAGCGCTTGCGGCTTTGACAATTCTAGGCTGCGCTCTGGCAGATTGGTAAATGCTGCACACCTACATTGAAGCTCTTATGCTAATCTTCATAGCACTTTTAACTTGGTAGTTTTGCCAAAGACCTCTCGAAAATTCCATCAGCTGCTACTAAATACCACAATGCGGTGCGTACTCTCGAAGAGTTGTTGTACAACCAACTAATGCAGAGTGTGAAAGCGCACCTATATCATTCCTGACATCTACGGATGCTGGCACAACCTTGAACAGGTATGAAAGTATTCGTACTGTTGAATCGCAGAACTAATGGTGTGCCATCAGATTCAGTCAAGATCTGGAGCTGATTGACAACGACTTGCCTCAAGCAATGGACCAGACAGTATTTCAATTTCTGTCTGCCATCGTTTCTGCAGTTCTCGTCTTCATCGGCTCAAGCTATATTGGCGCGGCTATTCCTCTGTGTATCGCGGCTCTTGCCTTTGTCCAATTTTACTATTTGCGGACTTCCAGGCAGCTCCGGCTTTTAGATATTGAGGCCAAAGCCCCGCTGTTCTCGCAATTCCTAGAAACAGTCAATGGCATCTCCTGCATTCGAGCATACGGCTGGTCAGAAGCATACATGGAGAGGAGCTACATGGCTTTAAATGTCTCCCAAAAGCCTTACTACTTGCTTTGGTGTATCCAGAGGTGGTTAACGCTAGTCCTAGATCTCTTTAACGCGGGCCTTGCACTTCTCTTGGTAGGTATTGCGACTAACATCCAGGGCAGTGCTTCGAGTTTTCTTGGTGTTGCGCTCTTTAATATTGTCACATTTAGCAGTACCCTTCAAACACTCGTCACTGAGTGGACTCAGGTGGAGACTGCTCTGGGTGCGATCAATCGAATCCGGTCATTTGTTTTGAACGTGAAGAATGAGAATCTCCCCGAGGAGAACCTCCAGGTACCCCAGATTTGGCCGTCAACTGGAAAGGTTATATTCGACAATATCTCGGCATCATACAAATCCAGTAATGAGCCAGTACTCAATGAAATTAGTTTTGAAGTTGAAGCTGGACAGAAAGTTGCAATTTGTGGAAGAACAGGAAGGTATGCTTTATTTTTCAGCTCCTATAGATGCATTATTGCGTATTGACTCTTCTCTAGTGGCAAATCTTCACTCATAGCGACATTGCTGAGACTTCTGGAGATAGATTCCGGCACGATTTGCGTCGATGGCATAGACATTAGTACCATACCACGACAGGAAGTACGCCGCAGATTAAACACAGTACCGCAAGACGCATTTTTTCTTGCAGGAAAGCTGAGAGAAGATCTGGACCCTTTCCAGTTTGCTACCGATGACCGCCTAATTGAGGTCCTTCGCGCAGTGAGCCTGTGGGAAATTTTCGAACCGATTGGCGGACTAGAGAGTGATATTGAGGAGGAGTTACTGTCGCATGGTCAACGTCAGCTCTATTGCCTTGCTCGAGCCGTCATCAGGCAGAGTCCCATACTCGTCCTGGATGAAGCAACGAGCAATGTTGATGCAGACACAGACAAGGCGATGCAAGCGCTGCTGCGAAGCGAGTTTAAAGATCAGACCATCATATCAGTGGTGCACAAATTGCAGAGTGTGCTTGACTTTGACAGGGTCATCTTGCTAGAGAATGGGCGAATGGTGGAGAGCGGGAATCCCAAAGAGTTGCTTTCCACGCCGGGATCAGCGTTCCTGGCTTTATATCAAAGTCTGGGGCTTGGTCATGGGGATTAGCGATGTTGCGGATTTTCCTAGATCATTCACCACACGACATGGCGAAAGAGACATGGTTTTGGAGTGTTTGCACCTTTTAACCCTAACCCTTACTAAAACCCCTGTGGTCATTCATGTGTTGGATCGAATCCCAACTAAGCCACAAGGCAAAAATTGTACACGCCTACAAATATTGCCGTAGCAGCTGTAATTACTTTATTTAACCCAACATTGTGATTGGCTATTTGGTAGTGCGCGCTGGAAGGCAAGATGGACGCATGACATGCCGCCAAGGAAGGATTCCGATTCCGAATTCCGACTCGGATTCTTCCGCCGAGAGCCCCCACTGGAGGCCGAGAACCGGATTCCTCGGTCCTGCTCGTCCTACCCTGCTCCGCTGTTCTGATGGTATTAATTTTCCAACAACATTGAAGGATAGACTAGCACGACTACCTGAGGACAATGGAATGATATCTACGGCTATATACTATAGTCGTCAAGGCAGCCAGAACCTCCCTGCGATAGTAATAAAGTAGAGGCAAGACGTCTGACAAGCTTAGTAATTGTGTGTGTTAGCTTCATGCGCTTTGACGGACCAAGTATGAGATGGGTTTGGACCATGTGGATAATTATTCCATTGGCGTGTCCGATCGTGGATGTGACGCTATCGTCTCGGAACCCGGGACCACTACAAGCTGACGTACCCCTGGCAGAAATATAATACTTATATATGTAGGACTTGACGTGGCATATTGTATTCAGCCGTCTCATCTCTAAACCGACTCCGCATCCTACATACCATCACCACCATATAAGTGAGGCTGAAATACAAACCAGATCACTCTGCAAAACATCTATTCCCCCGCTGTCGTCATGAGCACCATTGAACTACGAGGTGTAGGAGGCAAACCCGTCTCAGGTAAAGCATGACCCATGAAAAACGCGACCAGAGTCATCCAACTAAATCATCCAAGTAAACACCGGCCTTTTCATCAACAACGAATTCCAGCCATCTGTCGGCGGTGATGTCTTGCCAGTGGAGAATCCTGCTACCGGTGATTTATTAGCCTCAGTATCATCAGCACAACGCGTCGATGTTGATGCGGCAGTATCAGCCGCGCAAGCCGCTTTTCGAGGCCCGTGGAAGGATGTGCTCCCTGCAAAGCGAGGAGAGCTTCTCCTGCAACTCGCCTCCCTGATGGAGCGCGACATCGATGACCTCGCTAGTCTCGAGGCACTTGACGCGGGCATCTTGGCCGGGGAATCCAAGGGCCTCCACGTTCCGCAGGCGTGCGAGACGCTACGGTATTTCGCCGGATGGGCCGACAAGATCACCGGGCAGTTGCTTCATATCCCCCAGGGCTATGCCTACACTCGTCGAGAGCCTATCGGGGTATGCGCCGCTATTGTCCCGTGGAATGCGCCGTTGTAAGTAGCCCAAACACCACAAATTGCCTCGTGACCGTGACTTCGGCTTCCTGACATGGGGTGATGGGGTTGATGTAGGATTATAACCTGCTGGAAGCTTGCTCCTGCCATCGCTGCCGGCAACACGCTGATCATCAAGACGCCGGAAGCAGCACCGTTGTATGGACAAAAACTCGCGGCACTCGTCCGTGAGGCTGGCTTCCCACCAGGAGTCATCAACATCATCACCGGAGAAGGTCCAGTGGCTGGGCAGGCTCTTGCCGAGCATTTGGGCGTCAAGAAGCTTGCCTTTACCGGGAGTTCCATTGCGGGCCGCCAAATTCTCAAAGCTTCCGCCGACTCCAACTTCAAAAAGGTGTCGTTGGAACTTGGAGGCAAAAGCCCGTCCATTGTCTTTGCAGACGCAGATCTTGAGAACGCGTTATTCTGGACGACTCTGGGCATTACGGCAAATAACGGGCAGGTGTGCGCCGCGGGATCGCGCATATATGTGCACTCGTCCGTATACGAGAAATTCCTTCATTCTTTTGGAGAGAAGATTAAGCAGTCGTCTCCTGGTGACCCTCTGTTGCCTGAGAGTACAAAAGGCCCAATTGTAAACAAGAAGCAGATGAGCCGCATCATGGGGTACATTGCACATGCAGAGGAGTCTGGCCTTAGGGTGATTGGCGGGAGCGAAAACAACACCTCTCAGGGATACTTTGTGCCTAGTGTGGCTTTCGCCGATGTACCAAACGACTCGCGTCTCATGCAGGAAGAGATATTTGGCCCTGTAGCGGTATGTCTATTCTCCAAGAGTGGTATTTATCCCGTCCATGTACCTTGATTACTAATTCCTGTCTTCTTAAGTCCATTGCCAAGTTCGAAACTGAGGAAGAAGTCATCGGGTTGGCCAATAATAGCAGCTATGGACTCAGTGCAGCAATTTTCACCAGCAACATCCATCTTGCGGACCGAGTTTCGGCTGCACTCGAGAGTGGCCAGGTCACGGTAAACTGCTGGGGTCTGCTGAACGCCAACGCGCCGTTTGGAGGCGTGAAAGAGTCTGGGTTCGGCCGGGATATGGGACAGGAAGCGCTCGAGGACTGGTTGGTGACGAAGAGTGTTAAGCACAACATCCTACCTGCCTAAAGAGAAGAACCCTTGGGCTACCCAGGCCTCTCAAAACGCTCATATGTAATTATATAGAAATGGTTCTGCGGATAGAGTAGTTGGGATAGACGTTGCTTCCTATCATATCCATACTGGTCGAATGGTTTCCCAAGGCTTACTAAATGTCGTCCAGCCACAGGAGACGGATATGACAATGTCTGGACTGTTGTGTCGCTTGTCCACCCCAAGGTAACAAGGTGCTACTGATGCGGAAATGCTTCGTATCGTTGAATTCATTGACTTGTACCAGTACTTGAAGCGATTTGTCACAAATAATAACGTTGGTGATAGGCCCCGGCTCTTGTAAATTAAACGTCTACTGGTTAGTTTAGTATGCGACTCTCGCACCACACTAATGGTTCCGTTCGTGGATGTTAAACTACACTGATAAAATAGTGAAAGTCTCCCTCACGACTTGAGGATCTAGCCCTCGCTTATTTGTAGTAATCTGAGAGTGATGACGGCGCTTATAGCGTTGTACCTTTTTACTAGCGAAATACTATAGAATTTAGATAAGCTTATAGGCAAATCTAAGATGTTTCCACATATATTTGCTAGGCAAGGACGAGGAAGAACTATGAGCCAACGTAATCATGTGTATAACTATGGAGGAGTGTACTATAGTGACCAGCAGATGGCGACTCAGACGATCTAGAGATATAATGAACCACTGTTACGTAGAGTCTACTCGTAATCCGAGTCAAAATTTCCACAGATACGACGACGTGCATCGACAAAAAACTAGGTACGATCATTGACATCGAACTTCTTTTGATGAGCAGCGCGGAAATGATGTGACAGTCCAATCTGCGTAATTTCCTCCATTTCCTGTTCTAAGCGGTCTGGACTCCAGGTGGTCGCGATTGCAACTACGTTCTGTTGATTGTGCCAGTTAAAAAGAATGGCACTTGGCTCGACATCATACTTCTTGCCCAGGGTTTCAAGTAGTGCATCAAGAGGACCGCCCTTTCCCTTGGTAAGAGGCGCCAAGATTTTGAATGCCACAAATTGGATGCCATTTTCTTGCATCCAAGGCACGTACTGGTTCGCACGTTGCAAGCATGGTTGGAATTCGATCTGGTTGATCACCGGAGGTGAAACAGCGGTGCGTAATGTGGCCTCCAAGTGCGGACGCAGATAGTTGCTCACTCCGATGGACTTTGCTTTGCCTTATGCCTTGACTTGCTCCATGTCTTTCCACGCTTTCTGGAGATCTTCATCGTTCTTGGCGAAGAAAGGCGCATAAATGAGATACCTAATCAAAGTGACATAAGCATCGATGGTTTGTCAGTGTAGGCTTGTCCAGGCTTGACGCACATATCAACATAGGAGAGCTGTAGCTTCTTTAAACTGTCGTCGATGGCTTGGGAAATATTGAAGACGTTGTCCTGGACCTTGGTCGTGATGAAGAGTCGCTCTCCAGACGCCAAACTCGCGAATCGCGACACCCAGCTCTTCCTCTGTCCCGTAGGCGTCTGCACAATCGATGTGAGAGAAGCCTGCGCCAATTGCCTTGTTTAAGATATCAACGAGCGACTGGTCGAATGGCCCTTTGCCGTCGGGCTTGTACCATGCTGTACCTGTTCCGAAACCGAGCTGCGTTGATAAGTAAATTCTTCCTCTTAATAAGCTTAATATACTTAAAAGAGCTAAATTTAGCACGTATATAACTATAACAGCTAGGAAATAATCCTGCTTATTTAACGCTAGTAATATAAGTATAGCACTTATATCCAGCTAAATAATAACTAGAGTACCTATAAGCCACTCTAACCGTCGTGGGTCATATAGAAAAACAGGAACACGTTGTGGGAGGTACTGCTAGACAAGTACCTTACGGTGGAATTGGCAGCGAAACCCAAAAATAGACTAGCGCGATTATGACCGCAGAATCCCAAATGGGAAAGCTAGATGGGCCCGAAGCTGCGTGCGCGCAGATAAACCCCAACGAAGGGTATAGACCGTCGGCGTCTTCGGAAGAGCTTTGCTAAAGAGGGTGTATAGTGGAACTTTCCGCGATGGCGTTAAACGGGAAGGAAACTGTGGTTCTTTTGAGATTAGAGAGGTGGGGGCCGCCTAAGTGTGCATCCAGTTGCCCGCCTCCAGCTTTGCCGGTGATAGAGAAACTGGGGTGTCAGGTTGTCGTCTCCGGTGTTCCGAAATAGTCGTCGTGCCATGCCTTAACTTTTTCAAGTCACGACTATGCTGCACTCTCAAAGAGGGAGCTAACTACTACTGCTGCCTGAAACGCTATGATCAGCTGCTTATTGTCAGCTACCAAATATTGAAGTAGAGCGAGCTGTCATGATAATAGACGCTAATAGCTAGACAAACCGGCGTTATCAGAAAATAATAAAATAATAGCGGCGATAAAAACAAAGGTCCCGTTTCCTTAGCATGATTATAGCTGCTGACGGAGCTCAACGCCACATGCAGCTTAA